AAAAAAAAAAAAAAAAAGATTGGTTGTCATCCTAATGTTGTCAGTCTGATTTATCCACTATAGAGGTCCCTATCACACTTCACCTAATTGCTTTAGCTGTCCTTAAGAATTCCTTCCTACATAAGTTATTTTATCAAGCATTGCAAGATAGTGAGATTAATATCATTTTGTCACCTTTGGTAGAATACTATGGTATCATAGCTCACAGCAACCTCAGAACTCTTGCTCAAGCGGTCCTCTTGCCTTAGCCTCCCAGGGAGCTGGGACTACAGGTGCCTGTAAAGCACCTGTCTATTTTTTAGAGACAGGATCTTGCTCTTGCTCAGGCCGCTCTCAAACTCCTGAGCTCAAAGTCAAGCTTGGCTTCCCAGAATGCTAGGATTACAGATGTGAGCCACCATGCCTGTCCAGATAATGAGATTTCTAAGTTTATTATTCCTTGTGCCTTTATAGCAATAATTCTTTCATTAAAAAGAATGCTGAGCGCCTGTGGCTCAGTAAGTAGGTCACTGGCCCCATATACCAAGGGTAGCAGGTTCAAACCCAGCCCCAGCCAAACTGCAACAAAAAAATAGCCGAGCATTGTGGCAGGCACCTGTAGTCCCAGCTGCTTGGGAGGCTGAGGCAAGAGAATCGCCTAAACCTAGGAGTTGGAGGTTGCTGGGAGCTGTGATGCCACGGCACTCTACCCAGGGCAATAAAGTGAACCTCTGTCTCTAAAAAACAAACACCCCCCCCCTCAAAAAAAAAACCTTTTCTTTCTTGGGTGGTGCCTGTGGCTCAGTGAGTAGGGCACTGGCCCCATATACCAAGGGTGGTGGGTTCAAACCCGGCCCTGGCCAAACTGCTACATATAATAGCCGGGTGTTGTGGCTGGCACCTGTAGTCCCAGCTACTGGGGAAGTTGAGGGAAGAGAATCGCCTAAACCCAAGAACTGGAGGTTGCTGTGAGCTGTGACTACATAGCACTCTACTGAGGGCAACAAAGTGATACTCTTGTCTCTTAAAAAAAAAAAAAAAAAAAACTTTTTGGGTGGTGCCTGTGGCTCAAGGAGTAGGGCATCAGCCCCATAAACCGGAGGTGGCGGGTTCAAACCCAGCCCTGGCCAAATAAAAAACTAAAAAAAAAAAACACAAAATACTTTTCTTTCTCAACCATTTAGTTAACTCAGAAAATCAGTTCTTAAAGAAAAGGCTGGATAAATGGTTCATCTTTTCCCTTTATCAGTTATCAGAATAATGAGTTGCTACCCCTCAGTCCAAAGGTTGACTAAAGAAGAGTTTTGTCTGTTTTGTATGTTTTTAATATTGTGAAGTTATATATTTTAGCATACATGTTTCAAACTCTTGTGGACATTATTCTTTTTAATGCCCATATTAGCTCATCTATAGCTTGTAGTGGGATCCTTTTTAGGTTGGCTACCAATTTATCACCTATACACACCACCCCCGCTGCCCCAGGCAGAGTTTCTGTTGCCTAGGCTAGAGTGCCCGTGGCACCATAGTTCACAGCAACCCCAAACTCCTGGGTTCAGGTGATGCTTGTGCCTCAGCCTCCCAGGTAGCTGGGACTACAGGTGCTTTCCATGACACCCAGTTAATTTTTCTAATTTTAGTAGATACAGGATCTCACTCTTTCTCAGGCTGGTCTTAAACTCAAGGGATCCTCCAGAAGTCTTAGGATTACAGGTGTGACCCACTGCACCTGGCTTAATTTATTACATTTTAACTACCTTGAAAAGTCAAATCATAGTTTTTTATTTGTTTGTTTTTTTAACTGTTGGGGATTCATTGAGGGTACAAAAAACCAGGTTTCAGCTCGGCGCCTGTGGCTCAAGTGGCTAAGGCGCCAGCCACATACACCTAAGGTGGTGGGTTCGAATCCCCAGCCCAGGCCCGCCAAACAACAATGATG